TATGACCTTGCAGAGAAGCTGCAGTTCAGCTCCTCTCGCTCCATCTGCCGGTGGCTGTCACATTGAGCTCAGCAGCGGCTGGCGCAGCGGCGGCCGCCTCACCGAGCGGGGTGGCTCAGTGTGGGCACATCGGCCCGGGGCAACGACCCTCAGTGTGGTCCTGGACCGTGTCTCTTGGTTTAGTTTCATCCCAGAAGGAGTTCAGGTGGTGCTGAGACTTCTCTGTGCTGGGAACCAAAACGCAGTGAGAAATTAGTTTCAAAAGCATTCTGAGTCAAAACACTAATGTAAATGTGCCTGTGGACACTACAAGTGAGTGTTGTTTAATTTTTATTACAGTGTTGCTAGTGACCTTCCAGCATCGTATGAAATTTGCCTCTCTTATTTTAAACGGCATTGAAAATGAAGCAGCACACTTCTGCTACAGCGCAGGACAACTTGCAGCTCACCGGTATCCACATGTGTGTAATTTCCCATGCCTGTAGGAGTAGAATAAATACTAAATGGGATGGATGGTGAAGGGGAATAGATTTGGCAACCTTGCTCCAAAGAGAGTTGTCTGAATTTGGGATTAAGCTGGCGTATCGGAGATAGGCACCTGGTGCAGTATTTTATGTTATTGCCAGAATGTAGCTAAGTATAGGTACAGCATCGGCATTGCCAGGATGAAAGCAAATAGGTTTGTGGAGGAGGTAATCCAGGAACTGCTGCATCATTCTCGGCACAGGGACTGAGGGTTGGATGGATGGAGCTGGCCAGTCACCCCCAGTTAAATCCTCAGGTGTCTCCCGTTCAGGATTGAAATTGCTGTCCGTGCTGTCACTGTTCTGTGGCCAAAGGATATAATCCACTTGGCACCTCCTGGTAGCATAAACTTCACACAGAACTAACCCGCTGGCCAATTTTGAGCAACTCTGCTGTAAAGCAGCTCGTTTCCTCTTTGCAGAAAGATGAGACTACTGCATGTTGGTGAAGGTGAGTCTTCCAGTGGAAGATCTTCCTTTGTATGCACGTTCATGCTGTTAGCTGGGGGGGATGCTTCGATGCTGTAAAATGCCCGATAGTCACAATGAGATCAGTGTGCGGGGCATTTTCCGTTTTGCTAAAAGGCAAAAGCTAATGTAGTGAACTTGTTTATTTTGCTTTCTGCAATGAAAAAAGGCAATAAATGACTTCTCTCCAGGAGGAAACAGTGTAGGTAGCAACTCAGCACAAATCCATAACCAATGGGAAAGTCTCATACGTTCCGGGAGAAATTATCTTTTTAAGGGCAGTGCTGAATCTGGGCTATAATTAAAACAGCTTTTTAAAGAAATGGAAAAAGAAAAACAGCGAATGTTTTTCTCGTTTGATGTATTACCTATCACTAATGACCCTCGTTTCTCATTTCCGTTTTAAAAAATGGATATAAGCAATTAGCCGTATATTGCACAAAAGCAGCATTACCTGAAAAAATAATTAAGATGATCTTGAAATTAAGGAAATCGGTTTTGAAGAGAAGCAGGTGCTTAATGGAGGTGAGACCAGCTGTGCTTCCCAGGAACGTGCTTGAAGCGCTTCATGGAAAAATGTGCGAGGCCTCCACACAGCACTGGAAGGAAATTTATAATAATTCAGACAAATTGCATCCTATAAATAGCAGAGCTGGATTCATTAGGACAGGAGGCAGATGGAGAAAATATAAAACTTGTTTGTTTCTTTTTAAGGGACTATAATGCTTATGAAAAGTGTCAGCTTGCTGTCAATGAGGGAAAAACCCTCTGGTGCAGCAGTAACTTTCTCGCTATTAGGTCCTCATCTCTGCTAATGAGGAGCCATCCAGGAGGGGCATTCATAAGACTTTGTTTGAGCAGCTCCTGCCTGCCTTTTTCTGCTCCATCCAGGCTGACACGGAGTGCTGCAGTGCTGGAAGTGTGCAGCAGTTGAGGGGTGTGGGGGACATGAGGGAGGACGGTTTCAGATGCGGTGTGTAGCACTTGCTAACTGTTTAAAACTGATGCTGGTGGGGCAGAGGTATAAATGTAGTTGGAAAGTGGGAATGTGTGGAGTGAGGTGGGAATCATCCACCAAGCTGGCTAAGGGGTTATGTCCCAAAGCAGAAACGCACTGGTAATTGGTAGAGGAAATGCTGTGCATTATTGAAGAGAGAAGGTGAAGACATTTTTTAGATGCTCTTACATTAGCAAGTAAGAAAAAGGAGAAGCTTTCGTGCATGAAGAGAAAGCGGGTGGGAGGTGCGTGACTGGAATACAGCTCTGTCCACAGGAGGTAAGTGGAGGTGAGAGGGTTGTTGAGCCTTAGTGCTCATACACAGTGAGGTGCTGCAAAGAAGGAAGAGTGTCCAGCCACTGTCAGTCAGTACAGACTGACAGAAAGGGCACGTTGTAGACTGCGCTTAAATAACAGGAGAGGGTGAATGTGTGGGACTGTTTCCAAATGTGCTGAAATATGACTAGGCTCTTCAGAACAAAGCCAGCAGAGAAGACTGGCTGAACAATTGCCTACCAGTCAACCACAGGCAAGTCTGAGCTCAAACACAGAAGGGGTAAATGTTCTGTATGAATGTTATCTGTTAATGAACCTGCCTTCATCTCTTTTGCTGATTTGATTTACATTTCAGCAAAGCTTCCCTAAAAGATAACAATGTCAAAATTCCAATAAGCTATCCCAAGAGATATTTAAAGTACCAGTGTTCAGGAAAGGAATATCGCACACTTATCAGGCAGCAGTAGATTTTCCTGAGGAGTTCTTAGATTGCCAATTCACCTTGTGAAGTGGCAGAGGAAAAAGGTGATATGAAGGTCGTATTGGAGTCAGATAATAACAAACCTATTTGAGGAATGGTGAAAAGCTATACAACTGTTCATGCTCCGTGTATTAAGTAACTGCAGTTTTTCTCAGCATTCAGTATAGAGGGCAATGATCCCAGTGCAAGGAGGGGACATTGGAGAAGAGGACAGTGAGTGGTACGGATTGGCAGGATGCCTTTGGGGATTGCCATCTGTTGCAGCCTGCAGTGTCTCTAGGGTGTCAAGTAGCGAGCAAGTGGTGGTGGTGAAACTGGCCACAGACGTGGAGCAGGTTCACTGCCCAGGCGTTTTAGAAGAATGCAAGCGTGCTGGGATGCGTGTGGGAACCTGAGCAGGGAAAGTATGAGCCAGCACGTGTGAGCTCATGAATCCTCATGCGTAGCTCTGTTTTTTGGTATGGAGCAGAGAAACCCTTGGCTGATGAAGTGCATTTTCTTGCTTTCAGTGGGATAAATAAGCCCTGCATATCCAGGGGGTTAATATGGCCTGTGTTTGTGGGTAATGTTATATCTTGGATAACACAAGTAGTGAGTTCTGAGATCTTGACTAACATAGTCCTACAGCAATAACTAGTGTGAAGAATACAGAGACACAGTTAGATTGGAAAGGTAAGGCTTTAATTGTAGAAAGCCTTTAGAACAGATAATTTTAAAAAGAAAAAGATTGGTAGGATAGCCACTTGATAGGATAGCATTGTTTTGTTTTCTTGCTTCTAGATTTGAGCTGAGGTGTCTGAAATACAGTAATGTGTGATATGTGCTGAAAAATATGTATATGAAAGATGGGTGATCTTGAAGAGAAAGTACTGAAGAGCGGGAGTGATTTGTGTGTGTAGGTTTCCTGTCTTGCTGGTGGAAAACTTGCTTTGAATTATTATGCTACATTTCTAGGACAGCATCTTATGTGAAAAACATTCTTTTCATGTGTACCAATAAAAATATTATTCTGCTCAAAACAAGCTTCAAATTTCCTCTTTGCCCAAGCTCATTCACACCTTTATGCTTTCTTTCATGTCATGCTTTTCCAGAAATCCTTTCCTAGCTAATGCCTGCTGAAAGAACACCCCAAAAGCCACCAGCGCAGAAATATCTACCAGCTGCAGTGACTGCAGATGAGTCTGTTGACTAAAAGTTGCCCATGCCTTCCTGCACTCACCAAAACACAGTGGGTTTAGTTTTTTGTTCACATAATCTGAGCAACACCATGATCTTTGAGATCGTGTTTGTCTAGCAAGTCCTTTAACTGGATGCTTGCATACTTTTCCCTCATTGGTGCAGTGTGTCATGCCACACTTAGTGAAGAAAGATAGATTAAACATTGCTTCAAATTATACAACAACTTGGAATGTTGGAGTTCTTGCCTAAGACCCCCTTTTTAATGTGGGTAGATGGGTAAATCCTAATCCTATGGATGAGGAAGTCAAGACACGGATGCTACTGTCAGTTACTCAGGATCACAAAAGGAAATCCATGGCAGAGCTGGGAACAGTTCTCATTCCTGTCATGCTTAAACTGCAAAGCTGATACAGTCACCCTGGGGATACTGAGTTAACGTTTGTGTCTGTCGTGGTCTCCCAGTGTGGTACAATGCTGGTGTATTTCTTTACCTGATACTGAAACTGGAGTCAGCATTTCTCCCTGCCCCTACCAACTGGGGATTGCAGTCGCTTTGACATCTCGCGTCTTTCTCTTGACACGTAGGTGTGAGAAGGGGGAGGCTGATATGGTTGTGCAGCTCGCTCTCTTTGGCTCTGTTGTTTGTGTCTGTAAAGGTACTGAGATAGATTTGAATGAAAACAGGAGTGCAAGGTGAATTTGCAACCCAATCTAGAGATGCGAAGTAAGAATTGTTACAGACAGAAATTGTAGGTTGTCACCTTGTTATTACACGCATATACTCAGCTTGCTAGGCAGTATATAGTATAGCACAGACTCAGGAAGAGTTGTCAACCTGAAGACAAGCAAAGGGGACCTTCAGCCCAGGTGAAGATCCTGTGCCTGCGTCCCTGTGTGTACCATTTTCAGCAACTGAGGATGAAAAGTCTTGGATTTGGCTGAAGCTCTACTTTCTGTCGTGTGGCTTTCTCTTGACTGATCTCATATGTGACTAAATAGAAGTATGTTGTGTGTTTATTCATATATTGCTTTCTCTGCTTCTCTTGCTTCTGTTCTCCTCTTCCTTCACCTGCAGGCTTTGAATTACTGTACCAGCCAGATGTGGTCCGACTGTACCTCTCCATCCTCACCGAAAGTCAGAACTTCAACACTCTGGAAGCTGCAGCAGGGGCTTTACAGAATCTCAGTGCTGGCAACTGGATGGTGAGTGCAGTCATCTCTCTAGCCTTGTTTCCTCTGTGTAAGTACAGAACAAAGCTATGTCCCATTATGTGTGTGCTGTTACTTTGTGCATTTACATCTCCTTTAAAAAGGAAGGACGTGGGAACTCCAGATAAATTATTTCAATCTTATTTGCCACTTAAGATGTTTTGCAGCTTCTGGAAAGATAGTGATTACGTGGTGGAATTGTCACTGAGCTCATGATGATTTAACCATTAACAGGTTTTACTGCTTAAACCATTTAACCATTGCTTTGTCCATTCAGAAAAGCTGGTTGTTAGATGATTGTCTTGAATACTTAATTCATTGGGTTGTCAGATTGCTCAGGAAACCACACTCCACAGTGTCCTCTGATCTCCTTTCGGAAGCATCCCCAGCACTGATCGGGCAGTTCTCTCAAAGCTGTGCCTGATCACTTCTAGAACCACATGGCAAAGTGGGACTGATCAGCTGGGTGGTGTTTCACAGCTGTCTTGAATACAGTTTATTTTAAAATAAATTGCAACACAGAATAAAAGCATGAAATTGGAGGTTGGGGAAGATACCAGATGCTTTACATGCTTTGCTGTTCCCCCCAAATGACCTCTTTTTTTCCTAATCCAGAGGGATGTGTTTTTACACTGAGGTGTGTACAGAACAGATGCTGGCAGATGATGCTCCTTCCTTCTACTTCTGTCCTCTTTCCCCAGCAGCTTGCCAAGCTGTAGGATGAACTTCTGCATCCTTTCTTTCTTGATGCTTGATGAACTTGAATGATGGGTTAAGTTATAGATGCGTCAGCACACATAACCTAAAAATGAATTATAGCATTGACAGAAATGCCAGGGGCAAGGAGAGGGCAGGTATATGAATTCACAATACCTTGTGTTGTTTCTTTTCCCTTGTGTGTTCTGATCAGTGGTCCACGTACATCCGTGCAACAGTGCGGAAGGAGAGAGGCTTACCAGTGCTTGTGGAGCTGCTCCAGTCCGACTCTGACAAGGTTGTGAGGGCTGTGTCAATTGCGCTGAGAAACCTTTCCATGGATCGTCGCAATAAAGATCTCATAGGTATCTTCTGAACTTTGCTAACCAGGCTGGGATCATGGATACCCTTGAGACACCTCACGTTTTCTGTCACTTGTGCCGAGGATTGATTTTTTTGTGTGCAGTTTCCATCTTTACTCTGTAGCCACCAAGTGGAGGGCTGCCATATCGGAGCGTATTCCCAGCCGATTCAAACAAGTCGAGGTTTAAGGGAAATTTCAAACTCGGGAGTAATAACAGGTGCAGATTTTGGCAGGAGAGGGGAATGTGTGTTGGTGTGCAGAGGATTGGGTGGGTTACAAGGTTTCTTGTCTTTTCCTTAGCTCTGGCTGACACAGCACCTGTGCTCAAAGACACACCTGATAGTTGCAGAGATGTTGCTCCTTAGTGCTGCTGTTTAGATTAGAGTGGGAGTCTTGCCTTTGGCATGCTGAGCTAACCTGGGGAGGCACAGTGGTCTCTGAAGTTGTCCCTTTTTAATCGCTTCCTCCTTCCCTTCTCATCCTTTTGTGTGGTGCAGTTACTTGTAGAAGCTGGACACTAAACAACTTAGTCTTCTAAGTTAGTTCTTCAGCAGTGCTCCCTAGCTCCTATCTGAGGGGGTAAATAAGCATTCACCTGCTCACATGCAGGAATCTTGAAAGATTTTCAGAAAATCCACTTTTCTTCTGGATGCCTCTGTATGTAACTGATGTATTTGTTTAAACTATAACCTTTTCAGTCCAGAAGATACTGGTCACATGTAGGGCCATTGTCCAATTTGATACTAACAAATGGCAAGGTGGGATTGTGCCTTGATACATCAGGTTCTTTTAATAGTTCAGAGGTGCAGCTGGACCAATGGTACAGACAGACACCTGGAAGTTACAAACTCTGGACTCCTTGTTTTTTCTCTTGTACTAGACACTGTGAAGGCTAACTACACCCAGGAGGAAATACTCCTACCTTTGCTGGGGGAAGGTTAATAAATGCAAAGCTGCACACCTTGCCCCAGAAGGCCTATTACAATGCGAAGCTGAGTAAGCCATGTGCGTGTATTAGCATGAATATGTGCCATTAGCAGCAGCTACTGGATGCTTTTTGCCTCAGGCGTTGCAAAGTATGATAGATGCTGGCTCTAAAATTCTCAATAAAGTTGCTTCTTTTTATTTTATTCCCCTCAGTACCTTTTAGCATTCATGATGGAGTTTGTCTTGGGTACTTACTCTTACATCACCTTGAAATAATGATTGAAAAATACACTGTTAAGTGACAGTCTTGAGGTTCAAAACACATGCATTATGAAGTTTTTTGACATGGCAAACACCCTTCAGTTTTATCATTTAGGATGGGAAGCTGAAATTATTATTAGTGCTGACTAATGGTATCTCTTACCCTTATCTAGGTAGTTATGCCATGGGTGAGCTGGTAAGAAATTTGCCCAGTAGGCAGCAGAGATCTGCAAAGAACCTGGAAGAGGATACGGTGGTTGCAGTGTTGAATACCATCCATGAAATCATTACTGACAGCTCCGAAAATGCAAGGTCTCTGATACAGACACAGGGCATTCAGAAGCTGGTAGCTATCAGCAAGTCAAGGTAAGTGACAGTTGAAAGCAGAATGTAGAAGAACTCACTGCAGACATGAAAATGTCACTATGAACAGCAGCTGTTGCTTTGTGAAAGTATTCCAGCATCTTAACCTTTCAGAGCCTTGAATTTCAGAGCAATTAATATCTGTGCAGTAAAAACAGCACCTTTAATAGGTTTACTTGATTTAAAAAAAAAAAAGTTAATTCGTTAATGTAGTCGCTTCAGTCATGTTAAGACATGCTCTTTCCTTGTCAGGTAGGTCTTAGCACCACGTATGTGTTTAGCAGACATAACTTACAGCGAAACTGTGATCTTTATTTTTAGCGTGGGAGGCCTTTTTCCTGTGGCAGCATTCCAGTCCTGGAATGCCAATGATGATAGCTGTTCCTTTAAAGTAAACTGGTTAATGGTGTGCAGTAATCGTTCTGGCTGAAGGGCTGCTGGTGGTAATTTGAAGTGACAAATTTTCACTCTGCAGTTCTGTTGAAAACTGTGTTTTGACTGCTTTAGAAAAAAGTTTGTTTCATGTAGTTCAGCCCGTTAGACATGAGCTTCTTTGTGTGTTTTCAGCAAACTTTTGGGAGAGTAGCTGAAGACTTTGTTGGGTTGCATTGTTATAAAATACGAGAGCCAACCAAGAACATAGCCCTGTATGATTCTATAGAGGGTGGCTGTGTACTGACTTAGTAAGGAATGGATACAGTTTGTTTAAAAATAGCTTATTTTTTTCTGATCTAAATTGCTTTGTGAGGTATCCTAAACCATGAATAAACTTCACTGAGTTGTGAGGAATATATGTAAATGAGCGTGAAGGGTTGAAAAGTGGCATAGAACTTGGTTTTCGTTCGTTGGGTTTTTTTGGTTTTTGGTGGGTGGTTGGTTGGTTGGTTTGAAATAAATCCAGGCAGGATGAAATCCATCCGTCTTTTGTTAACGACAGTTACAAGACCAAAGAGTCACCCTGGCCTCAGTGCTTGCCCAGGAGTGCCCATGAAAATCCAGCAATCTGCACAATTCACAACTTTGTTTTGATTTTCTTTTTTTTTTTTTTTTTGGTCAGCAAATACCTATAGATAAGAAGTCACTGAGTGATTTCACATATATCCTGCAGCTTATAGGTTCAGAGAATAGCTGTATGCAGTACTGGGTGTCTCCTGGATATTGTTTTAGTGCAAGGAAGTCAACGTATGAATAGTCTGCTAGTGCTCGATACTCAAGCTCTAATTTTTATCTTGCAAATCAGCCAGTCTCCCAGAGAGACAAAAGCAGCATCTCACGTTCTTCAGATGATCTGGAGCTATAAAGAACTACGAAATGCTCTGCAGAAGGATGGGTGGAACAAATCCCACTTCCAGGTGAGAGACTGGGTCTTAGATTTACTTACGGAAATGCCCGAGTGGAAAATGTCCTGGCTTAGTCTGATATTACAGTCTGATTATGGGCTTTGGTTCTGTTCTGCTAGGTGACAGAACAGTGTATGGTCATCTATTCATTGTCACAGCATCATGCATATACTTGCTGGGTATGTTTTCTAGTTGTGTGCATAATACAGATTCTTAGGTTTTAGAATTATGCCACTTTGTACAGGCCAAATGCCCATTCTTTACTGGGCACGTCTTTCCTTAGCTGTGTCTCATTTGAAGCATCCCATCTAGCAGCACAGTGCACCCACCTGTTCCTGATGTGCAGCCTCCTCATCTTTCCTTGCTTTCCATTTAGATAACGGGGGAAAAATTCCACCAACAAATCTATATTAAAATAAAAATTACTCCAGTGCCATATTATCAGCAGAAGGTGGTTTAGCAGCATTCCATAATCTCTCTCCATACTGTTGGTTTGTTTATTTTTCTTGTTCGGTTTCCCTGAGTAGCAATTCTGTATTTATGTGATTTTTTGTCTTGCAGTCTGTTTCTGCAGCTCCGAAGGGTTCCAAAGGTACTGCTGGCAGGTCTGGCTACGATGACAGCACTTTGCCTCTGGTGGATAAAAGTCAAGGTCAGTTCTGCTCTTTATCAGGGGTTTTGTTGTTTGTTTGTGGTTTTTTTTTGCACTTTGCTTGCTTGTTTTCTGGATTTGCCACACCTGTGTTATGTGAGTGATAGGACAAGGAACGAAGGGGCAAAAATGCATAATTTTTGTGGTACCTTTTACCTCATCATGCCAAAATGATCAGTCCTCCTAACTGGATATGGATGGTATTTCTTCCCTTGTGAAATGGACAATACTGCTGTAGTTTTCTTACCTTGTATGCAACATAATCAGTTAAATATGCATGGGAGAATTTGTGAAAGATGTGAGTTGGAGCTTTGGAAGAGAACAGCCGTGTTTGACAGCCTTATATATTAATAAACATAGCCTTCAGCCAGGCAGTGGGCTTGGCCTTACCCCCTGCTCACCACTGGAGTCTTTCCTTTCTAAATCAAGTGTGCCTGTATTGGCAGTGCGCCTTCCCCTGCTGTGCAGGTTATTTTCATTGGAGATGAGTTTAGCCAAACCCTAGCTAAACCTGTCCGTGCATGTTTATGAGACATGATGCAGCCATACGTGTAGCTCCAGCTTTAATTTTTCCATGATTGCTTTGACTCTGAATCTGCCTCTAGTTTGGAACACTCAGATGTCAAAATTTCTTTTTGGAAATCTTGAATCTCCTACAGCAAAGTTTGCCTCGTTGCACTTTACCTGGTTTGACTGCACATTACCGCAGAAAAACCAGCCCCATACTGCTCTGCCTGTTTCCACCTTCCCTGTCTTTGATCAAATCTGGCAGATTTTGCAGACAGTGAATGACTTGGGTCAGTTTGCTGATCTGACAATAACCTTCTTGTTTTCTTTATGGGTTAGCTTTCTGTTGGCTCAGCAGGCTGCTCAACTGGACTGTGAGCCATGTGAAGCTGCACCCTTACTTATTTTCTTTCCCTCCTATTCTGGAGAGACCAGAGAGAAGCTTGTCAATAGCTGTAGGTAGTCCAAAGTAGGAGTGCAGTTTCTCTTATCACTTCAAAAGAGGGAGTTCTGTATTACAGTGCCAAAGCAGAAAATATAAGGATTACATGTGCTCTCTGGAGAGCTTAAATCAAACTCCCCCTTCTGAATGGATAACAGATGGGTGGTTTGGGTTTTTTTTTACCATAGGCTTTGCGTTCAGTGCTTTATGGACCTCTTTGGTCCTGTGACTAATTTAAAGCTGCCAGGTGCTGAGAAAAGCAAATGTAATACAAGATGTTTCGTTGTTTTTGTTTTACAGATAACGAGAAAGCTGGGAGTCGTGATATGATACCTATGGATGAACTTGGCCCAGGTAAGTTCAGTCACAGATAAAACCCTCTGTCTGTTTCAATAGAGTATGCTGTCACTCACAGGGAAAGTTCAACTATTTCTCTAGGTGATATTCGTTCAGATGGATAAAACAGAACATTATCTTACAAAAGATTGTTCATCAACATCTTTTTTTTTCTGTCTTTTTCTTTTTTCTTTGAAATACACGTAGAGTTTACACACCAATTTCTCCACTACTTCAGGCATATAATGGAGATCCACTGATCTAGCTTTCATTCTGGTCTCTGGCCTTTGAGACAGCTGTGTTCCCTGTTGTAGATCTGGCAGTCTGAGGATTCAGAAATAATAAAAAAAAGTTGAAAATTTGCTTCGATGTAATGCTTGCATTTAAATCCCTTCTGCCTTTGTTTTCTGTGGGTAACACCAAAAAGAAGTTAGTATGTATGATATTGCTGGCTCTGCCTTTCATTTGCCTGCATCTAGCCAAGCCTGGCTTTTCTTACAGACTGGGAACAGCCACCTACTGTCAGTAAAGTGCTTTGAGATTGATAAGCTCTGTAGTTTAGGGCTCGTAGAGGGTTTTTTTCGTTACTGACTTCGATAAAGATGCTCTGTGGTCTCTTGGGAATTTGCTTTACTTCTTCCAGTTGATGTTATTTTTATTTAAATACTGATATTAATGCCTCCAAATCAAACACTTTGATATACCGCTATTTGTGATTGTAGATGAACAAAATAGCAAGTTAGAACCAAGCCGAAAGCCAAGTGTGTTCAGAAGTTAAAATAAGAGGTATATATTACCTTTTGTATTCTTAGAAAAATGAGATGCCACCTGCCGTGAATCAGCTGTCCATATGTATTATGCCTAAGGGAACGCTGAAACATTTGTTCTCACAATGGAAGAAAATCACTTCAGAGGAGATTTCCTGTGTGCTGGCAAGTGCTGCAATGTGGGCAGTGCTGATTGTTTATAGTCTCAATATTAATTGTTGCCTTTTGCTTTCAGGAGTTACTGGTACAGCTCTGAGTACCAATGAAATGCAAATTAACAGCATATGTACAACATCAGGTAGATGCTCTGGGCTGTTCCGTTCTCCATCTTTTTGTCACTGTTAGAAGATGAAATCTGTCACGTTTTCCTGACCCAGCTCTTGGGTGCTTTTTAACTCCAATATGACTATAACTTTGTGGTGTTTCAGAGGTCAGCTGAGAAGAGACTTAATTAAAGAATTAATTTACCCACTTCACTATCTTTACTTCCAAGGAACTGGAACTACAACTCAGTACCTCATCTGTTTCCTTCAGGCTCTTCCAGATGCCCTGTGTTCTTTGTCTTATGGGCATACTTACATGAGGAGCTGTTCTAGGCTGTATTTTCTGATTTTTAACTTCATTGTGGACTCTTGTATTCTGGAGCTTTTGTGCTTTTTCCAATCAGGAATGAACTATCAGCTATAAGGAAGAGAACATCAATGTGCAGTCCTCTGGATTTGTACCTCCAGTAGGCAGTTTGGTTGTATCCTCATATACTCCACGCCAGTCTACATTGAGCCTCTACAAGACACTGACCTCACTTAACGTTTGCAAAGAAAATGCACGACAGTACCAGAGAAAGCTGTTCAGCATCCCATCTTCTCTTTATTTCTTTATGTTGCAGAAAATCCTGTGCCCTGGTTTCAGCTGTGTGTTTTTCCATTGCCTTCCTCTCTTTTTTACTTCACTTGCCCTAAGATCTACTTTGTATTCACTGTCTTTTAGAGAATTCTCCTCTGTTTCCAGCTTTGTGTTGTTCATTTCATTTAATTCAGATGCTTCCAGGTTACATAGTTATCTTTCTGGTTTACCGCTTTGGTACTGAACTGGAATTGCCTCAAACACGTTAGAGTGTCCCAGTGCAGAATTCGGTGGGTTTCTGTGCCACACGTTAGAGGTACCCACCCATTAACCAGCTTCTTTCATCCCGCTCCCCAGCAGGGTACACAAGAGGGCTTGTTCCAAAACATCACCGTCTGCCTGCTGCTCATCTCTTGCTTCTTTTTATCGGAGTTCAGCTGTCTTGGTGCCTGGGCCTTTACTGTTAAACCCATGCTGACTTTTTTTCAAGATTGCAAAAGGAAAATTGCTCTTGGTATCTCACCTTATTTGCTAATGCTGAGGGGGCATCCTTCTCTGTAAGGGAAGTTAATTCATTATCATTGTGGCTAGGGAGGCAGAAAGATACGTTCCCCATCAGCTGGCATTACTAGACCAGTGAGATTCCTGTTGTCTGGAGCAGTGGGAAGGCCTAGGTAGAGTGTGGATGTCTTGGAAGATGGAAGAAAGTGTGTATTATGAGTTACTGTGAGATGCACTAGACAGCCCAGTGCAGAGATGGCTCAGGTCTGCCACACTTCATCAGCTCCAGACAAGTGGCTCTGCACCAAGTAATCTGAAGATCATCAATGCTTATTGTCACAGTGCTGCCTGAGGGTGGCTGTGACCCTGAGCTGTCTGCAGAAGCAGCAAAACTGTGATCTCGAGGCTGTATGCCAAATTTGTGAGTCCTCTAAAACTGAATTTGTGCTTCAATTAACCTACAGTCAGTTGGACAAGAGCATCTGGGAGCTGAGAATTGTTCAGAGCAGAGACACATAGTTCACATGCCCTTGTCCTACATGCCCATCTTCAGGCATAACTTTTCCTTTCTCCCCCTCTTCCTTTTTGGTGGGTCCAGAGGTTCAATCTTTAGAGGTGGAGAGCTGTGTGAGGGCACAGATGGACTGACACCCAGCAGGCATTTGGTCCTGTAATCTGTAGTGACATAAAGGTGTTGCTGCAGAGTGAATGGGAGATAGTGAAGCAATACAGAAGACAACAAGCAGAGAGTTGAGAGAGAGGAATGAACAAGCCAAGAATGGGACATGCCTCTATTGACCAGTACAACTTTTGTCTATACATTGGATTGTGTTAGCTCAAAATAATGCACTTATACCTTGAAGCAGTAAGATCTGTATAGGTCTCCTCTATGCCACAGAAACAGAGTTAATTCTGATCACTTTTCAGAATGAACCTGAAACATGGGAGAATCAGTACTCACTAATTTCATTGGAGGGCTGTGGTCCTTGGAGCACTGAGGTCTTGCTTCTCTGATGCAGCCTCCTTCAAGATAGCTCTCATTTTATTAGGTCAAATCATACACTTCCTATCTCTGCTGCCGCTTATCTTGACAGTCACAGCACAGTGTGTGGTTTTCAGAAGCACATAATCTATTAGTGCCGATGTGCACGGCACCATTAGCACACAGACCCCACAGCAGTGGGCTGACAGTATGAATTGCAAAACACGTTGGAACTTTAATATGAAAAACAAAGTTCTTGGCCGTTCTTTGTTGTAGATTACTGCCACTGTGCAAAGCTTGATCTTCCTGTTGCTGCTGTCCTGGCTGAGCGGGATTTCTAATTTTTAGTAGTATTAAAGAACTGTTGTGCTTTTACATTTCTGTGGTTGCAGTCCTTACTTCAGACCTTGCTCCGTGGGCAGTGTCACAGCTGCTGTACTTAGTAGCTGTTGCTTTCTGGGGTTTCCTTTGTATCCTGGCAATTAATTTGAAAAATGTTTTTGGATCACCCATGTTGATGGCACTACAAAAATGCAAAGTGATCCATTACCTCATTGTGAGTGTAATTAATATTAGATTGTAAAAAGCTACTGCTCAGCTATTGTGAGTTTCATTTTTTGAGGGAGTCAGCACGTTTCCATCATTTAACTACATCCTTATGTGAACTATTTACTCCTAAATAAATGATGGATTTTTAGATTAGGATATGACTTACTAGCAGCATTCATGCCTGTCATTTGAAAGAGAATTACTGGTCATGTGTTCCTCCACAAATGCCGGCTGGGTAGCCAGATGCAGCTGGTAGGCTTCAGGTTTTTTCTTTTTTGTTCTAAAGGAATAGCCAAGATTGTTGGGCATCTTCGCTGTCAACAAATAATTATAAGTAAAGCTCTGTGTAGCAGTTATTTGCAAGTTTTAAGATCTGTGTTCTACATGTATAACTCACAAAATTCTTCAGTTATTTTTAGGCAGCGTGGTAAAATAATCTGTTACTATCCATGAGATGTCATAAATATATGCTATTTCAGGTGCTTGTTGCAGGTCTGTGTGCACTTTGATTCATTAAATACACAGGAAAACTTGAGCTCTTTTCAAAACTAACCTGGCTGTGGCCAGAATAAACATTATTTAGGGCCATGCTCTGCGGCTGTTTGGTACAAGTCCCTTGAGCTGTATGTGCTTCTGTCATGTGGGCAAACAGTGCCTCTTTATGCCACAGCAACCCCACAGAAAACATGACTTACTTTTCCTTAATAACCTGTTGCAGGCAAGTAACAAACCAAGAGAGGAGCATTTTGATAGTTTATGTGAAGGCTTTTTGTGGTATTCTGAAAACCCAGTTTGTCAGGACGTGAAAACAATGATCCTGCACTTACAGAGGGGAAAACAAAAGCCTACAGGGAGCTATAAATTTGAGTGTCGTCTACTCCAGATTACAATGCTGTCAAAGCAGAGCGGGAGAGGATCTATTTGTCACTGATAATGAGGGAAATTTGGTGCATCAGGAACATAAATTAAGATTTGCATTGGCTGACAATGATTCAAAGCAATGGTTCTGAAATAATTAGAGCCATTTCTTTATAAAACACACTCACACTTTCCTTCCTTGTGTTCATCACGCTTTCATACTGTTTCTTAGTTGTCAGGAGAAAGAGCACCAACAGGTGCTACTTTGTAATGAAACACAGCCCAAGCACAGCAGGGTTTGCATCACGATTTCTTCCAACTCGACAGGCCCTTTTTCTCAGTGCGCTGAAAGGGACTCTTCCAAATTATTGTCATGTCCTGCTAGCAGTACGGCTCAGGAGGAGTGGGAACATGCTGCAGAGCGTTCAGAGAATGAACACAGCCAATTAATCAGGCTGCTAAGCAAGGAACACAAGATTTGGGCTGAATTTGGAGCTCATTAGCCACAGGGCATGAGATGACGACTTGCTGCTTTCCTTGGGCACACTAAAAACTGCAGCAGGCTAGGATGAAAACAGTGCTGCTTGCTAATGAGTGCCAGCATCTGGCAGTGATATAAAAAGAGGGCTTTTCTGATTTGTTTTAAGCTGATAAAAATGAAATTTCAGAGCTGCAGTGCATGTGAAAAGCAGGCTGCCAGCATCTTTGGGTTGATGGTTTATTTTCCTGTTTCTTTGCTGGAGAATTCTGCTCCCATCAGCTCTGGTTTAGCTTTTGTTTGTGCTTTGTGCCTGACTGTCGTGTTATTTCTCCTCAGATGGGTACTCCACTATCGATCACCGGGAGAAGGAGCGCAAATACAAGACGACTGATAACACAGGGGATGCCTCAGAGAAAGAACCTTTAAAAGTGAGCTTCCTCTTCCTGCTATGAATGCTAGTTAGTGCCTTTAAAAGAAAAGAAGCCTGGCATCCTAAGCAAGAAATGTAGGGTAGTCACTCACCAGAGGGCTGTAAAGGGCTTTTTAATTTTTTTTTTAATATAAAGGCGCTATTTCATAAATTTGCACTTGGATAACTAGAAATAAAAGCAAAATGCTGCTTTCTAGTGCAGGAGCAAATACAGGAAATCACTGTATTCTTGTAAATGGGGTTTTAAAAATAGAAAGTGTTTGTTCTGTCACCCTCATCTAGGCACCATTCCCTAGCCCTAAAGTGTATAATTGTGCTCAGACTTTGTGCTAAGAACAGTCACTTCAGGCTGTCACTCTGCTTTATTGTTTTCACCGTGAGAAGTAGGTGTGAGCTTGTGTGTCTGTGTGCAGCAGTGTGGTGAACTGTATTTGTTTCCCCAGCACTCATTCACAGTCCTGATGGTGGATTATGGGCATGGGCCAAGGAGATGGAGAAGGAGGGAGAGACATGCATAGTTACGTGTGTGCCTTCTAAAAACAAATTTAGACAACTTTACAGTTGGAAAAAAAACCCTTACTTCACAAAGCTCGTTGTATTGTGGATTGTGTGCATATGTGGGTTAGTAGGCTCTGTGTAATTCCTGTTGTATTGCTACGCCTTTTCAGTAGACCTTTTTAAAGGCCACTTAATGCCGTGGCCATCAGTTCTCCACGGCCTCAAAACAAGGCTGTGTTTTCCCCTGGGGAAGTAATTTCGAGGAAGAAGGGGAGGAAGAGGCGGATTCATTGAAACAAGAGTCAGTGATAGGAAACCCTCTTGTTAGTCTGCAGGAGGCTGTCCGTAATAACCTTCAGCACATTGCTGATAATACCAGGAAATCCAGGTGATTCATGTGGAGTGGAAACAAACTTCAATTAAAAAGAAAACCCACTCAGGGAAATAAAAATGTGATTTGGAGAAAAATCTCTCCATAGATCATGAATTAGGAAGATGTCCCGCTGCATCAGGCTGCCCATATTAACTTGCTTGTGCATTTCCTGCTGGGTCCTGCCTTCAACGTGAGGAAGGGAAGTGGCTTAAATCCAGCTGAACATTTTTTTAAGCATGAATATCACTCTCGAATTTGCCAGCTCTGAGTATAGCTGCACCCTATTGGAGGCTGCCCAGTTGGATTTTTTGACAGAAGTGCTTGTGTTCCTTCATTAGTTGTTGGAACTGACAAAACCGAGCTGATAAGTCATGCAGTGTGCACCCCCCTACCGCAGTGTGGAAAGAGATGGCCCTGGTTGAACCGGTATCAACAAGATAAACTTTCACAGTTCTCCTATGTTTTGCAAAGACGCAGTGGGAGAGGGGGCACCAAATGCCATAAGAATGTTGGTCAGTAGGAGCTTGACAGAAAATGTCTCTCTAAGGAAAGTAGGCTAAGGCAGGAAAATTAACAAATACTTGTTATTTTTGCCACTCAAAATTCATTAAAGTGGTCCAATACAACCCTCAAAATCACATCAAGCAGCCCAAACTTCAGTGTATGTCTGAAGTGAAGCACAGCCCAGAGTTCTGTGAGTAGCTGCTTTGCTTTCATGAGAAAAAGAGAAGAAACATTTCACCTCAACATGTGTCCTCCATAGCCCGTGCTACCTCTTGATTTTAAGGACGAGGAGTAACCTGAATTCGGGCTGTTGCACACATCGAAGGTACACGCTACCATGCTCTCCGTTGGGCAGAGCTGAGTAGCTGCTACTTGCCCTTCTCCTTATGCTGTGAAACAGAAATATATCTGTGGGGTCTCCTGGCTTCTGAACTCTTTGATAACCATGGCTCTGCGGCTCAAGAGTGGCCGAAAATTGTGAATAATGATGGGGGGAAGTGCAGCCTTCTGGCTGTTGCAGGTGCTTTTGTCAGTATTGTGCCTTTGCTGATCTTGTTTCTTTCTCTACCACTAATTTGCTTGTGCTCCTTTAAGCTGACTTGTTTGGTGGTTTTGTTTGATTAATCCGCTCTGTTTTGCCTTTTAACTCCTCACCCTGTGCTGCAGAATGACACAAATAGGAAAAACATTAACAGGAGTAACAGGGCTTCGGTGAATCTGGTGGATGCCCGTGACATTAAACCCCAGCCTGTTGACTCCTGGGTCTAATTTGCATGCATGGTAGGTCCTTTTAATGGTAATTGGTGCTAGCGATTAACTTGTCTGGTGCATGATCTGTATCGCTGTGGAATTTCTTCAAGGCTAACTGCTAACTGGGTCCTTTCAGACAAATGAAAATGCATTTGAAATAAAAGCGGTGTTTATGTTATTCAGTGTTATCTTCGATGAAATGCAGTCAAACACCACTGTTTGATTAAAAAATAACCTGTCAAATAACCAGGCAGAAAATTAATATTGTGACTGATTGGTTGTCAGCTAAAATGTGAAAGATTTCTGCTAGATTAGATTTAGACTTAGGCTATGGGAACAAATTTGAATAGTGTGTTCCTGCTTCCAACCATGTTTTTCCTTCTGTTCTCATTAAGGATTAGCCTGAGACTTAGGGAGAAGCATATCCTTGACTAGTTATGGCTGTCCCCTAAGGTTCCCATGAATTACACAGCCCTGCCCATCTGCAGAAAAGCTGCTGACTGTACACAAGTTACTTTGCAAAGAGAGATGATTTTGGTTACATGGTATAAACATGGACCCACAGCTCCACTTCTCAATTACTTATTTTTCCCCTTGTTGCTAAAGAAAGGTGCCTTTTTGTCGCTTTCTAGTTCTCAGCCTTTGCCATGTGCCAAATTCCTCAGTAATGTCACTGGCCTTTCTTCACTGCTGCCACTGCTAATCTGTATCTTGCTGTTTTGCTAGACAGCCCTCTACCCCAGTTATACCTTCTGGCACTCCATCAGATGCTGTGTTTGGAACAGCAGGGTTTGTGCCCCTGGCTATGACTAAAGGAAAATGTTAGTGGCTGTCAGGAAGGCATTGGGCAGCTTTCCCATCAGAGTGGACAACAGGCCTTTAAAGGCCAAGTTCCAAAACATGGAGCATTGCCCACCCCCATAATTCTACATGGAAATCACTTGTGTGAGTAGGTGAGAAAACTCATGTATGTTTTTGGGTGGTGGTGGTGGATTTTTTTTTTCCCCCTCCCTCTTTTAAGAGTCCAGTAGAATTGCTAAGTGTTTACAGATTGATTGTGTCCCTGGGTTGGAAGCACCTGCCCAGAGCAGTCTTTCACCATTGCCAGGGGCTCCTCTGCAGCCATGGAGCAGGCCCTGGCACTGTTGTCTTCCCACAGCTGTTCAGCACGGTGTGGGGCAGCAGTGTTGGTTCAGCCAAAGGGCAAAGATAAATGTGTGTGTGTGTGTATTCCCTGTACACATCACTCCTGCACTGTTCCCCGAAGCATTTGAAGGCTTACAGGTGTGGTACAGACTTTGTAAAAGGAAGTCTGTGCTCATTTTCTCCCAGTTATACCCTTCACTGAACCCATATATTTGGGGTAGGTTGGTGTGTCCAGTCATTGTCCTACCATTGGGTGAAGGAGATCGCCAAGGTCACATTATTTGCTGGTATTAACCAGTTTTGACTTTATTTTGCAGGGCTAGAGTCCAACCACATTTTTTTTAATTGAGGGGGAGAAGCAAACATTGAATCGACACAGAGGATCTCATCAGTCACCACTGCCATTCAGATCTGGAGGGCGCTGCATCACTGACCAGGCTGCAGATTCTAGGAGGATGTGGGGAGAAAACACAACTGACTGCCATTGCCAGCCCTGGAGCACCATGCCTTACAGCGAGACGATTTGCTTTTTAACTCCGTTACATTCCCACCAGAAATAGCCACCGCCTCCCCCTCCCTCCCACTCCTGCACGAAGAAAGCAAGCAAGAAAAGAGAATCCAAGTTTCCATCTAGCTGGCTGTGTTCTTAGGTGACTCTTACGTGTGGATGGTGCCAAGTATGAGAAGTGAAGGTCACACGGCAGCAAAGAAGACAGCTTCACAAGTGAAAGAAAGTGCAGAATATTTGGAATAATATCGTAGGTGTAGCCACGAAGATAATAGCACTTTTCTGGTTTTGGGCTCGTTGTTTTGGGTTTTTTTGTTTTGTTTTGGGGGGTTTCTTTTGAACTGTGAATCTAACATTTTTAAAGGCTTTTTGAAAAAAAGTGTAGATTTTCTTTATTATTTCCACAGAAAGTGCTGGAATGTTGAGTGGGTTTATTGGATTTCAATGAAGGGAGAAAATGCAGAACAAAAACTGTTAAACGCTGGTCAGATGAACTGGAGAGTGGGTGACAAAATTGATGCAAGCTGTATAATCTGCTTTTAGAGTAAGCTATATCAATCACAGTGCTATATTATCATTATAATCTGGTGTACAATACTTCTGCCTTTTGAATTCTGTAATGCCTCTTTTTATTTCCACATACTGAAAAGCAGTTTATTGAAGGTTACAGTTCCCCAGTTCAGAAATCTATGCTGAGAAATGGAGTTGGCTGGCTTTTTATTTTCTTGTTCTCAAAGATTGCAATAAGGAGCTTCTACATTTTAAATGTACCAGTGTTGCATTGATGATGATTAACAGTTTCTTTTGCCATAGCTGTTAACAAATTGGAAGAAAATAGGAGCTTTTTCGTAGAATGTCTTATTTTGAACACGCTATAAATCGTAGATGGGTCTGTGACTTATGGTAAATTTATCATTGTTGGATCCATGTTTGCTTTGGGCTATAGATCCTGATGAAAAATGCCACAAAGGGAACTGGTTTGGCATTTTTTAAATCATCATCATGATTTCTGTGTTTCTTTGGTTTTGTTTTGAGATTAGGTATTTCATTGGTGTGAAAATCACCCATGTGCAACGGTTATCCTCTAAGATGCCAAGGCCTGCTTTGTGTAAGGGGGAGATGTTACCTCACGAGAACGTACTCTGCATATATGGTATCTGGTAATGCCATGAACTAAATGACTTCAGATCACTGATTTTCTCCAGGCATTGGTCAAGGGAGGGCAGCAGATGAGAATAGGAAGCAAATGTCTTACTGGTAGCACCAGAGGCCTTTTGCTGATTTTATTTGGTTGCCACTGTTCTTTGATTGCCACATTTAGTTTTAAACAAGCTCCTAAAAACGGTGTGACTGGAAAGCACATTTCTGAATCTAGAAACATCATTTGAGGTTTTCAGTGCCTGCCGTTTCCTTTGTAATTAAGAAGGGGAAATACCCAACAACCTCACCTCCTCCAAAATATTACTGTAATAGTAAACATCTAAAGCTTTTTGTAAAAAAAATTGAAAAACTTAAAAAAAAAAAAAGCAAGTACCAAGAGCTTTGTATCTTCTTGAGTATATTAAAATTTGACATGAATACATATATATAAATAAATAAATAAATCTATATATCTATATATATATATTGTTGTGCAGAGGATAGGGTAACAAAACCATGTAAAGTAGTTTGCAGGAGAGGGAAGCATTTGTTGATTCAGGGAAAAAGACTGATGCCAGAAGCTGTCAGTGATTTGGATGATACCTGTGCTCCTTCGCACCCTCCCTTTTTTGATCCTCATCTTCCATGTACGTTGCAGCGGTCACTTCTGAATCCTGGGGAAGGTGAAGTTGCTTGGAGCAAATTAAGATAGAAAAGATTTGTTTTTTCACCTGCATGAGAGTCCTGTTGGGCCAAAGATGCTCAGCGGATCAAGAGAAGCAAAGAGATACATCTGTGATTATCTGCATTTGTGTCAGGGCAGTGTCTCTATGTGTAGACATAAAGTGTGGCAATGAAACCAGATACATAGTCTGACTGTATATTATATCAATGGTGCTCTTTTCATACTTGTTCTGCCAATATGCGGAGACCCTTTTAACCAAGCTACACAGAAGAGTTTTATATCACTTTTGGTTATGTACTTGGTGTATTCTTTTTGTATATGAAAGGATTTTTTAAAAAACGTTCAGTAATTAGCAATGGAACCTGCTTTGTAGCTGTAGAACAGTGTAAGAGAAGGGCCGTGCTGTCAGTCTGTCCCTGATCTACTTCAAACCATATATTTACCAAAGGAGTCTGAGCAAAAGTTCACTTAAAATAAAGACCTGACTGTTGAAAGGAGTCTCTGCTAAGACTTTGTGATTTAGTTATTGTACAGATATTTCAAAGCCAGCAAGAGGTTAACAGAGAAAACTGCAGGAAGGGGGAAGTGATGTGACTAGGGGCCCAATTATGTCCTTGACCTCCTATCCCAGATATCCCATGGCTTTCAGTGGGGCAGTACAGGGACAGTCAATATCTGGATTGGAATTTACTTTGGTCTCTGTCATTAGGGGGCTAAAAACACTGTGGAGTAATTGAGGAACAAATTCAGATCCTATCCCACTTTCTCCAGAAGTCCTTTTCGTATTTACACTGCATCCTGTGATAAGCAACCCCCCCTGCCATGTTAGATGGCATTGGCTGCCCAGGGTCATTGTGGCAAACTGTTCTTTGTTTTCCTGGGGTAAGCGTTGATGGCAGCCAGTGTAGTTGTGAGCTCATGACATGGTTTATTGCTGCAGAAAAGCAAAGGATGGTATATCAAGACATCAGATACCAAGTCCGTGTGCCAAGACTTCCCCTGGGAATCACACGTCTTACCCCTGCCCTTCCCATGCCTTACAATAATGAGAAATTTCCAAGTATGTAGCAATAAACCATCATTTACCCATCCTGGTTTTTTTTTCTTCTCACCAAACTATTGTTTGGATGCTGAGGGAGGAAAATGGATCCGGGGGTGACTTGCATGTGAGACTATCGCCTTGTATTGTCAGCCTACCTGCTGAAGTCCAAAGCAAGATACTTTGAACTAGGTCTGATGGTTTAATGTCCTTTTTATCTATGGCCACAAGCTCGCTGGTGGGACGTGTTCCCACACCTGCCCTTACCTCTCCCCATGTTGGCGCAAATGCGAGTGGCTGTTTGAGCTGTTCTGGGATGTGGGTGGATGAACCTGTAATTGTTGTATTTTGGCAGCAGGGACTGTATGTAAAGAAAGGAAAGCGGCAGTGTGTGTGACTAAAGCTGCAGTAGAGTCTAGAGTCTCCTGCTAAAAGGCAGGCAGTGCTTTTTAGGGCTCAGGTATGTGACCTCCTCTTTCCACTGTGAAAACTGGAGGGAATCTGCCTGCAAAAAGGGTGGGTATAGAAAAGATGTGTACCTGCAGAAATTCTAGTGGGAGGGATGGTTGTGGAAGGAAATGGTGTTGCAAGACTCCTGCTAAAGAGGAGGAGGAAATGTGATGGCCCAGTGAGGCCTGAAATAACACAGGGGAAGAGAGGGACTTCTGATGGCAAGTAAGTACTGCAGGACTTTCTTCCCAGGGGGGTGGCTTGCACATCTCCCAAGCATCTTCACGAAGCTGTGGAGGTTTAAAAACAACAACGTTGTGTGTCAAGGCTCCCCTGGAGAAGCATCAAGTTTGGCTGTGGAGTGTGTGAGCAACTGTTCTTGTGCCTACAGCTTCCCATGTTGGTCTGTGCAGAACCCAAGAAGGAGAGTTAGAAAGGCAAGGCTTGTAGTTTCTGTCTTGGAATTAAGTAGCAGCTTAGCCATAAGTGTAACTTGACAACCCAACTTGCTAGCTTGAAATGCTCCGCAGTGAACAGCTTGGGCAGCCACAGGTCCTGATCTTTAGCATCTTCTGGGCAAAACACCCACCTGTCCTAGTTGTACTCCTGTGCATTCAGACATGGCAATTCTGAATGTATCTGGATCAGGAAAGCAGATGTTGTCTCTGGTGACAAGACATCACAGAAGGGACTGACCTGGGGACTAGGAACTGACTTGCTGTGAGTGACACATGAATAACACAGGCGGTGGCCTGTTCGTTACAGCAGAGTAGTAAGTTCTTGCCAACTCTGTGCAGTTCTCGCTGATGCTTTCTAGCATGTAAGGCTTATGCTGGGCAAAGTGGTTTTCACTCCTAGAGTAGTTCCATGAGACTGAAGGTGGTGAGTTACCTTCTGTTACTTGCCTTAAAGTTGAGCACGAAAGCTCAGCTGCCTGTGAGAGAGGCGCACGTGTTAAACTCTTTGAGTAAGCAAAGCTTCAGAAGCCAAATGGGCGCATTAGAGTGGCTATAGCCTCTTCTGCTGTCCGACTGCCCACTCAGTGGAAAACTATAGTGTGCCAATAACTTCAGCCAGCATTTTTGTGCTGTTGGGGTGGAGTCATGCTCTCAGTTTTTGAAGGTGTTTATATAGGCATAGTTTCTTGCGAAATTTGTTTTGATGCCCCTAAAATCTGGTGTTTCCTTATCTTTGACAGAGAAGTTCTCTGATTTATTGGTACAGTAACTAATCTAGTGTATTTAAGGGGAAGGTATTATGAACCTTTTTTTTCTCTTAAGTTTTACATCAGAGTAGGATGTTCTGAAGTCCAAGGTGAGGAGGAAGATAGCGCAGATGCTACAAGGCCTGCCAATCTGGTTCTTACTGTTCAGAAAAACAAAATAACTAGACTAAGAAGCTTACTGGTAATTAGTAGCTAATGTGTTTGTAACTATCATGTGCCTTAAAATTTTCATGGTAGGAGAATAAAAAAAAAAAATCAACAATGTGTTTTCTGTAATACTGCTCAACATTCTCGCTGTAGTTTAGACTGGTGGGATTTTGCATTGTATTTACACTGTACTATAAACTGAAACACTTAGAATGGTTTGATTTTACAAGTATGGAGAGGAAAAAAAAGGTGGATTATGCTTTTCATAGAAGAAATGTTACCATGACAGAATGTATTATTATTATAGGATCTTTCCATAATGCAGACAAGTAGAATGCTTGTTAGAAACCAGGTATGTAGGATAACAATTTGGTGTGTTTTCAATAAACCATGCCTGGAAAGAATACATGTGCTATTGGTTATCTTTTTGTTACATCAGGTATCTCAAATATTCATTGGCTTGGCAACAGCAATTTTCTGTGGCAGGGGATTATTCAACCCTAGCTCAGGTCAGCACTCCGTATGTTAGTAAAGGTCAGTGGTAATGAGGGCAATCGGAATATCCTTTGAACTAGTATAGCTGGAAATTTTTTATTCATTGCCATACGCTGGAGTTGTAGCACAAAGTCCTGAAAGGACCCCAAACTGTAGATCATGGTTGTTTTTTCCTTTTTAATATACAAGTGTATTTCTCTGGGAAAGACATCTGTGTCACTGTTCAAAGGCCTGCACGTTTGTGACCACAAGCCAAACCTGAGGATGGCTTTTCCATTTGGGAAGTTATTACCCTTTCCCAGTTTAGTAATAAAATTGATGTAACTTTACAAAGACTTCACATTTCTGAAATGTGTGCAAGTATTCTCATAAATATGCATATAAGAGTAACAGAAAATCTTGTAAGTTTATTGTAGCAGTGTCTGAAGTTTTGATGACATGAGGAATTGTTGTTTTGGGGAGGCACCAAATAATTTACATTTGTTGCTCTGTGGGGGAGAAAAATCCAATACTGAAAAGTCACCCCTGTATTTCAAGTAACAGCCAGTTACTGACGGATCTTAATTCTCTTGAGGACTGTCTCTCCCTGGCATGTTTGTTCATCTGTGTGGATAAGATCAGTAGGGAGACTGATGCACCTAAACATATCATACCTACTGCCATGCCTTCATGAAGCGTGACAAAGCCCAGTAAATCTTCACAAGTGTGTTCTGCAAGGTCTTACAGATAGAGCAGAGGTCAGGTTTTCTGCGAGTGAAAGGCTGATGAATCAGTGGCAGTAACAGTTTGCCATGTGTTAATGCCTGATTGTACCATTCACAGCACTATGAGGTTCCATTTACTTGCGAATGCTCGCAAGCAGCACTTGGAAGGTCATCTTCAGCTCACCTTCCCTCCTTATTAATGCTGTTTTCAATGCATCCCTAGGATTTTTGTAAAATCAGCTCCACGTTCTGTTTTTGCAGCTGGAGGATCTAGTTTCACAAGTGCTGTGGTGAGATACTGGGCTCCTGGGTTTAGCATCTTGCTCCTAGGTATCACTGGCGTTCTGCTGCAGGGAGGAATCTGATTTTTACTGTGGATGCACTAATACAGCAATGAATAGCAGATGCTGTAGGTAAGGTACTGAGCTAAAACAAATATGTTACTTCTACAGCTGACCTTTTGTAGCTGTCAAAGTGATTTCATTTCCAGCTCATCACAGGTTGGGCCAATGGAAGCAGTGAGTCCTAGAGGTGAAAGGTTAACCTGGTAACAATGGGCAAGAAATACCACAGCCCTCATCTGTTCCAGGTTTCAGCAGTGTCTTGGAGGAATACTTTGTCCTCATGGGTCTCTTTCTCAGTGTCTTACTGTAAAGGTCTCTGTGCAGCTGAAGCACAGCAACGGCAGAATCTCATTCTGGTACAAGCTGAAAGAGAGGTTTTTTTACAGTGGGAGGTTGCTTCATAACAGAACCGTTAGCTGAGCTGTAGAGATAGAGACAAAGACTCTTGACTTTTTTACTACGCTTAGTGTGCGTGCACAGCAAACATAGCTGTTATTCATAAGTTATCACTGATTCCTACAACCAGATAAGCACACATCATGGCCCAGGTGGTGTCACCTTTGGTGGGAGAGTTGACATCTCAGCAGTCTCTCTCTTGCTGCTCTTGTAGGGGTTTCTGTAGGTTCTCCTCACTGCATCTGGTGCTTGACCCAATGCTCAAAACTTTTCAGTGGGGTGCTTTTCACTCCCTCATACCAATGGGAGGAAGCAGTAGCTCCTGTACAACCTTACAATGACTGCTGTTTGCTCTGATGAGTAATTTCTGCTGTAAGGATTGCTACATGGGTGCTGTTATGCTGTTTGCTATTAAATTAGGAAGCAAAAGGGACTTCTGCTGAGTGTTACTGCTTCAGAAATCCTTCTCCTCTTTTGTACACTGATTTAAGGATTCAGTTCAATATTTTGAAAGAAAACATCATGTCCCTTTGAGGTAACAGAGAGGCTCTGGCAGAAACCAGACCTCGCTTTCACATGCCTGAATCGCTAAGACAACCTAGAGAGTAGCTGTCATTTGGAGAATTGATCTCAATTAGCAGTAGTTGGTGGGATCGACTGTTTGTGACATGAGTGTGAGAATTGGCTGAAAGCTGTGTGGTGTTTTAGAGGAGTTCTTTCCATTGGGAGCTTCCTGTCAGTGGTAATGCTCTCAGTGGGCAGTTTTTAAACACGTGCTTCCAGATGCACAATTCCATACCTGTTTTGTGCAAGAACAGGTTGTCTTGTAATTACAACAGGCTGATGTTGCAGTAACTGTCAATAGGTTTTTTAGAGTGTATTTGAATTAGAGAGAGATGAGTTGTCTATCTTTTGCTTCTCCCAGAATTCAAAGCATGACTTTATTTTGAAAAGTACCTTTTCTCCCTGGGAGATTTCACATTCATGTGTCGATGACTGCAGATCATATCTGCTCAACTGACCAAAAGCCTCTTTTCTGATTGTCAGTCATGCAAGCAGAGTCAGGCTTTTTCCTTTTCATCTCTTGCCACCAATAATTAAGAGCATTTCAGAAGTGGAGTCAAGTGGAACATTTTTTCTTGCATACAGAATTCTGTAAATAATCTCACTGTGTTTAGTTTTTACAATTTGCCATGTGGGAGATCCTTTCTAATGAATTAAAATACATTTTTTTTATATTAAAAGGTGGGTGATACATTTCCACATATATCACACATGCATTATTCACTAATGCATCTTTTTTGAAATACCCATGCTAACTTTACAGGTTCCCTTCTTCCCTAATTTTCTTGACAATCTCTCAGATTGTAATTTGGCCATTAACTAGCAGTGGGAATGTATTTTTCCAGTTCTCTCTTGTAAAGTGCAGAACAGTCTACCTGTTTACTCTTATGCATCCTTCAGCATGTGTCTGAGACCCTGGTTTGTTTGTCAGTATGTGTTAAGTGCACTGCTATGGCAGGAGTGTCTAGGTGCAAAGGTGTTTAAAGCTAGAAACAAAAGAGGATTCTTTGGAATCATCATTTCATGACCTCAGGTATAAAGAAAAAAAATCTCTGGTCAGCTGTATGTATCCAGATTTTCTGATGTGCTCTAGAAACATGTATATGCCAATAAGTGGGCTTGAAGATTTTCTTTTATTTTGCAAACATTGTTGGGAATCACCTGAAGGACTTTGGCCCAGTGACTTTGAGTTGAGCCTGAATAACAAGAGGATGTGCTGCTAAACAAACTTACAGAATAAATCTTTAACATTCACACCAGGACAGATGGGAGTGCTGGAACTCAGGGTCTGCCCCTATGCAGGACAGCACAACAGAGTCACAAGGGGGTGCTTCTGCATAATCTAATCCAGTAATCTTGTGTCTTTCTTAATGTGTCAGAGTTTAAATTGTTAAAGATACTCTTAATAATGTTGTCTTCTCATATCCCTGTGAAGTGCACAAATTGCAAGCTGGCTGGGTCACTGTGGTTTGCTCAGTCAACGTCTAAACTGACTTTGTCACCTTGGCCTGTTCTAGTTTTCTTTTATGCTGCGGGGCAATTCTTCGCTATGCCCATTATTGGTGTCCTGGAGATGGATTTGCTGTAGCATACAGGCCAAGGTAGGTACCACTTCAGCAAGGTGGGCTATAGAAGGAAGAAGCTGATAACAGATCTCAAAGAATCATAAAGATGAGAATGAAAAATCAGTGATAACCAATCTGTTTTTCCGCTGCTGGATCTTTCTGTGGCTTTTTCAAGGCTGGAAATCCCAAGTGTGGTGCAGAATTAATGAGAAACAAAGGAAGTCACACACCTGCTCCATTGTTTTTTAGTTTTTATTTATAAATGTCACCATTGGCTTGTCATATAATCACAGCAGGAGATGCCAGGAAATGCTGGTGGATTTTTGCATTGGTCAGGTGAGCTAGAGACTTCAGATTTGTCTCTGTATTTTCTCAGTGACAACCCTCACCATTCACACTGTGTTAACACCACTGAGGTTAACCGAGCTGTGCAGTATTCACCTGGTAAAACCCATTCTTTCTGGTCTTTATTTTTATACAGCATCTTAAACATACAGAGCGCTTCAGAGTAAGCAGCTTGCCCTGCCCCTAAAAAGCACACACTACATACATACATACAGTATTATGAGGGGATAAACAGAATTTTTTCAAGGTCTCTGATACTATGTAGTCTTGGTGTACTTTTGGAAAGAGGCTGCTTCTTTTGTTATCTGTCTGTTACTGTGTTTATTTTAATCTATTTACTACTTAAGTTTTCCCTACCTCTGCATGGGCAGGTTATTGATTATTGAATATAAGATTATCAAATCTTATTTGTTTGTCTTCTGCAAACTTGTGTTATATTTTCTTATCACTGCATGGGTCTTTCTTCTTTTGGTGCATGACCTTTTCTGTAGCATAGAGATTACTAACTTTTGCAGTAACTATGCAGAAATCTGATCTCACAATAGGAACCTTCATTGCATTAAGTGTCATGCTAGTGATTTAGCAAAATCAGGGCTCCTTAAATGCTCTTTTCTTGCAACAAGCAAGCTTTTTTCCCACTCTTGATAGCTTTTTTCCACTCTTCATAATGATTAATTGGTTTGTCTTGGGGACATAAGTCTTCAGAAGTTGCAGCAACTTTTCTATCTTACCCTAAGCCCAAATTGTGGTTGTTCAGGTTTAAGCTTAAAATAACAGACTGCTGTTCAGTGATGTGTTGGTCAAGGCAAGGCAATGTGCATCCCCTTGGGTTTGCTGATTTATGTGAAACAATGGAACAGACCTTTGAAGAATAACCCTGCTTACTCCTGATCCTGGTTTCCACCTGGTCTAAAATGATCTCCGCTAGCACTTGCTTTAATCACAGGCTCCAAGATACAAAAAGAAAAAAAAAAAGTAAAGCATGGCCAAGTTAACTGTGCAGTTGCACTGATGTAATTTTAAACAAATGTTGACTGTTAATGGCTCTCTATCCCAAAAACACAGCCTTTTCCATAGCATCCTCAGTTTCCATATATTCCAGATGAGATAGGTAGTTAGTGCATTGGAAACGGGGGTTGTTGCGGATATAGTTAAGGAATTCTGGAGCTCCTGGGAAGATGACATTGTCAGCCAGAAGAACTGAGCCCTTCCTCAGCAAGTTGCATTCCTAGAAAGAAGAGAAATTGCTTCATGGTGGCTGTTAAGCAGACATGGGCTTGAATGTAATGTGCTTTCCTGTTAACTATGTCATATTCAAGTGCCTGCATCCAAAAATCCATTATGCTATGCTATGGGTTTGGAGGGAAAAAAAAAAAGACATGGGAGAACCTGAGTAACTCTCCAGTCCTTTGTGGTCATGTTTAACATGGTGACTTTTTCTGTTAACACAATCAGTAGAACATTAGAGATGTTGATAACATGTTGTGTCATTCAGATTCCGAATTGCAAATCAAGTGCAGTGGAGGTGTGCAGTTTGCTGCACAGATTGTTTCCAACTATGTCCAGGTGTTCAGTAAGATGGTTTTGTTTTGGCTCTCATGCCTAATGTTTGAAAACCTTTTTACTATGGCATTAACATGTTTAATACAGCTCTTAAGGTCACCTGGGAGACTGGTATGTACCAGTCTGCTTTGGGCAGTCTCAGTCAAACTCCAAAACCACTAAAAAAAGCTTTTCTGCACTTGTTTTCCTTTCATCTTGCATAACTTTCTGCCACTTTGTTCAGGAGCTGGGCGTGAAGCAGGGTTTGTGCACAATGAAGATCACTGACAAATTTTCACAAGGCATAATTATCCTGCAGTATTCACTTCAAGTGCAATGTTTATCCTCAGTAAACCTACAAACCTAATTTTTACTGGTATTTTTGTCTAGTAGAAGTTGCTTATCTGAGCTTACCAGCTGTTTTAAAACAGCCTGTAGTTCAGCA